ATGATGAGGGTAGTCAGTAGGGGGCGGGGTGAGGGGGGGGGTGAGGGGGGGAGGAGGGGGGGGGGGGGGGGGGGGGGCGAGGGCGATCGATCGGTGGCAGCTGTAGGGGGCGGGGTGTGAGGGGGCGAGGGGGAGGGAGGAGGACGGCCAGTCCTCCTCGACCCCAGGCTAGGGTCGTGTCACTCCACAACCAGCGCGGGAATAGGTGGTGGTCGCACATGCGGTGGGTGGGGGCGGGCAGTCACTCGACTCGGCAGCTATGCCGTACGTGCTGGAGTTTGACGTCAACCATGAGCACTTTGGTATGTGAGGCGCATGAGAGGTGGCCTTTGGGGGGCAGGATGTAGACACGAGGGTGAATGGCTGACTCACAAAGTGTCTTGGTCCGCCAGGGGTCATGCATCGGTACGTCCGTGACGTGCTGGAGGACGCCGGACTCGATGTTGAGCACGTCGACATCGGAGGTGATGGCGAGAGTGCAGTAGCGGGAAGCGGTGATGATGGTAGTCGCAGATGGTTTCTGGTCGTGCGGGCCTCGCGGGCGCGGCTGGAGAAGGAGTACACCCGTGAGCGAAGGCTGGGCATCGGCCTGTTTGCCGGCGATGATCCGGTGGCGCTCGACGATAGCGACGAGAACGATGACATCGACAACATCGGCGATGAGAACGGCAAGAGCGACGACGGTGATGAAATCTCGGGCGCGATGCGGAGTGGAGAGGCTGTCTTTAACGCCCGTGATGCCCTGGTTCTCCTGCGGGAGATTGTCGACGGCGTAGAGGTGGCCGAGAGCGACATGGACCTGTCGATCAAGTCGCGGCGGCGGTACGGCGGCATGCTTCCGCCGCTGGCTGAGTGTGGGCTGGGCATGTACGAGCCTGTCGTCGAGAGCCTCATCCATACCTCGAACTCGCTCATCCAGCAAGCCTTTCCGCTGCATGCGCGGCGCGCGCGGACCGAGGTCTGGCACAGCGTGATGGCAGTGCGGGAGACGGCCGTGCCGGAGCCTGTCCGCGAGTACTTTGGCGACAAGGCCACGCTCTTCCTCGAGTGGGCGCTTTTCTACACCAAGTGGATGGTGGTGCTCGCGGGGCTGGGGCTGGCGGTCTGGCTGCTGGAGGAAGTGGATCACTCGCACGACAACGTGCTTGTGGCGGCGTACTCGGCGGGGCTCGTCGTCTGGGCCTCGGGCTTTGCGCTCTTCTGGGCGCGGCGCCAGTCTGCGCTGGCGTGGGAGTGGGGCACGCTCGACATCGACGACGCGCTCGCTGAGGAGGTCCGGCCCGAGTTTGAGGGCGAGATGGACGAGTCGCCGGTGACCGGCCGGCTGGTCAAGACCTACCCCGAGTGGAAGCGGCAACTCAAGTACGCGGTCTCAGTTCCGGTCACCCTCGCCATGCTCGGCGTCTCAGTGGCAGTCATGGTGGCAGGCCTCAATGCGACGGCAGCGATTGATCCTGACTCGTTCCTCTTTGTGCCCGCACTCAACGGCCGCGGCGGCGACGGGCGCGGGCTCGCTGCCGACGACGACTCGCTGGTAGTCGGCATGCTGCCGTCGCTGGTGTACACGGTCGTCATTCTTGTGGTCAACGAGGTCTACTCGCGCATCGCTGTCTGCCTCAACAAGTGGGAAAACCACCGGACGCGCGAGTCATACGAGGCTGCGCTCATTCTCAAGCAGATTCCGTTCCAGCTCTTCAACTCGTTTGTGGGGCTCTTCTACCTCGCCTTTGTCGAGTGCAACATGGTCGAGCTGAGGGTCCAGCTCCGCGATCTGTTCATGACCGACTGGGTCCGCCGCGTCGTCGTCGGGGCCCTCATTCCATACGTTCTCAAAAAGTACGCCGAGTACACCGACGCCGCCGTGGTAGCCGCCAGCAAGAAGGCCGACGCGCCGGTGCCGAGCTCTTCGCCCCGCTTTGTCCTCGAGCTCCTCGTCGAGGCTGATCAGGATCGCATGGCCACCTTTGACGACTGGACCGAGCTGGTGACCCAGCTCGGATACGTCGCCTTTTTCTCGGCAGCCTTTCCGCTCGCGCCGCTGCTTGCGGTCCTTGGCAATGTCGTCGAGCTCCGCGCTCTTGTCTTCCGCTACGCTTTCCTCGTCCAGCGGGCCGATCCTGTCCGCGCCAAGTCCATCGGCGTGTGGATGGCCATCGTCAAGCTTGTCTGCCTTCTCGCAGTCATCATCAATGTCGGCATCTTTGGCTACACCACCAACCAGGCCCGCGCCGTCTTTGCCTTTTTCGGTCTTGACCTCTCCATCGTCGGTCACATGGCTCTTGTCATCACCCTCGAGCACGCCGCCGTCCTCGCTAAGGCCGTCGTTGAGTGGGTCGTCCCCGAGATCCCGGCATGGGTCACCATCGCTCGCGCCCGCACTCGCTTCCTTCTCGCCCAGTCCATCCGTGAGCGCGAACGTCGACGAATCCAGGAGCGCGAGCGCGAGCGCCGCCAGGCCCAGCATCGAACGATCCGAAAGTAAGAAGAGAAACTGTCTCGTCGCCTAAAAGATCGGGGTGTGTTGATTTGCAGCCGGGGTAGACGACGTGAATTGTTGCGATCTGCCATTTTTGATGCCGAACACAACAGCAGAGTTTCCCGCACCAGGGAGCCCAAGGAAAATCCCCCCTGCTCAGCCCCCTCTCCCCCCCACACTATGCCACCTGCGCCCTCCACCATCACTTCCTCCTCAATGCCCGCATTGGCTGTGGATGGCTGGCGGCGGGCGAGATCAAGGCGGGAAAAAAACCGAGTCCGTGAATTGTTCACTGTCAGCTAAGACTGTTGTTCGTTCCTTCCTTGGCATTCTCCTCTCTCGTTCACCTTTCAGCCAAATGAGACGAGCGACTTTGTTGATGATGAGCTTGCTCATGATGGCTCTTGTGGGCGAATTCGCTCTGGGCGACTCTGTCATTGGTGCCGACGTGACAGCTCGTGCAGCATGGCTTGCAAGTACGTTCTCTCACCTCTGATGGCGCCATGTGGCGTGGAGGGAGGGCCGTTGCCGTGTGGGGATGTGGAGCTCAGCTGCGCCGCTGTAGCCATTGGCCGGCAAATGAGCAAATTGCTGCGGAGGCGACGGAAAAGGCGGGGCTGAGCAGGGGCGGGAGGGGCATGGCAGCCATGCGGGTAGAGGGCGATAGGGAGAGGGTATGGAGGCAGGAGTTGGACTGAGAGGCAGAGCTCGGAGCTAGTGTACTCATTGTTTGGTCTGGGGTTGTGTGGGATATGCGTTGGCGACGGTGTTGCGGTTGCAGAACACAACACCCGGCGGGCGGCGTACGACCTGCCGCCGTTGGCCTGGTCGACAGCGCTGGCGGATGCGGCGCAGGAGCACGTCAATAGCTGCCCAGGGACAACGGGCTCTGGTTCCGGCAACGGCGAGAATGTGTGCGTGGCGGCAAGCCGACTCGGTGAGGCATGCGTCGACCGGTGGGCAGCCGAGGCGGCGGATTGGGACTGCGCGAGCGACTCGTGCGGAGCGGGGAAGACCTGTGATGCGTACCGTCAGATCATGTGGGCTGAAGCGACTCAAGTCGGATGCGCCGAGGTCAGCGGATGTACGGCAGGCGGCTTTGACACCGTGGCGGTGTGCTTGTATGCACCCGGGGTGGCATCTGCGGCGAACCGGCCGTTTGAGGCGAGCAAGTGTGACACCTCGCCGCCGCCGTGCGCGTCTCCGTGCTCGCCGCCGAACACCTGCTCGGGCGTGGGGAGTTGCTGCGACAACCAGTGCACCTGCGATCTGGGGTTCCAGCCGTCGGACGCTGCGCGTGGCGACTGTGTTAGCTCAACAACGGTGGTTGTCCGTGGCGGCATCGAGGCCGGAGTGCCCAAGTCAATCCAATCGTCGGTCTTTGGCAAGCACTTTACATACATCCAGCTGCGGCCGTTTTCTAGCCCATCGACGCGTGCGCTAGTGCGGCGACTGGCGCAGACCAGCTCGACCGCGGTACAGCCGCTAGCGATCACGGTGACGGCGTCGTCGGGTGCGAATCAGGTCCTCGCCCCGTTCTACTTACTTGCCGGGACCGGGCAGCCGTCGGCGACCAACAACATTGCAGGCTCTGTCATCAGCCGCGACGGCAAGACGAGTGAGCTGGCGTACCGAACAGCAACGGCGGATGAGTCCGAGACCATCACGCTCGCGGTGACTGCCGACGTCGACGCATCGTTCACGGTTACTGCTCGCCTCGGCGCGCTGCCGGGCTCTGAGCCCGCGCCTGCGCCCGCCGACGACATCACTTCCAAACGGTGGTTCCTCGGCGCGGTTGCGCTCGGTGCACTTGTATGCATCTGCTGCGTCCTCATCACGGTCGTCTGCTGCATCAAGAAGAGCAAGTCAGCCCCGTCGTACTTTCACGAGGGTGACACGTTCATCGACACGTCGGACTTGCATACGATGGCTGGCGCGGGCGCGGCGCCCAAGGCGAACATTGGCGCCGCGTCGGACATCTCTATGCCGTCCATGCTCGCGACCGCCCCCCTACCCGCGACGCGCCGGCCAAGCCCGCCCCCTCCGGCCCGGCGCCTGCAGCTGCCTGCCTGCGGTCGACCACTGCGCTCTACGACTACGCTCCGGCCAACACCGACGAAGTGAGGCTTGTCACGGGCGCCACCGTTGAGATCATCGAAGAGTTTGACGACGGCTGGGCCCGCGGCCGATGCAACGGTTCTGAGGGTATGTTCCCCATCACCTACGTCTCGTGACCGAGCCGTCTCCACGTCTCTGTGCCTGTGTCTTTGCCTGTGCCTGTGCCCTAGCCCCAGCCCTCGCCCCAGTCCTCGCCCCAGCCCTCGCCCCAGCCCTCGCCCCAGCTTCAATACCAATGCCAGTGGATCGCGCACAGAAGATTGTCCGTAATCAGAATGAATCCTCGCCCGCCAATCTCGCGTCATCTGCGCTTTCTGCGAGCCGGCGCCGACCTCCCCCCCCCCCCTCCCCCACCCCACCCCACCCCACCCCACCCCGACCACTTGACCCTTTCACCCCACCACCACCACCATGCCCATCAAGCGCATCACCGACCCAACCGACTTTGACGCGTACGTCTCCTTCCCACCTGCCGGTGTGCTTGTGTGTGCTTGTGGTGCTTGGTGGCCACTCACGGATGTGTGCGGTGGCGGTGGCTGTGGTGGTGGTGGTGGGCGCTGGACTCTGGGCGACCTGTGTGACATGCGTGGCGGACGGGCTGATGGCGGACGGGCTGATGGCGGACGGGCTGATGGCGGACGGGCTGATGGCGGACGGGCTGATGGCGGACGGACTGATGGCGGACGGGCTGATGGCGGACGGGCTGATGGCGGACGGGCTGATGGCGGACGGGCTGATGGCGGACGGGCTGACGGATGTGTGCAGGACGCTCGCGGCCCACTTTGAGGGGGAGTCCACCGGCCCGACATACGTGGTGTTCATCGGGTCGGATGACCCCGGAACTGGCGAGTCGTGGTGCTCCGACTGCGTCATTGCCGACCCGCTCATCCGCCAGGGCGTTCGTGCCGTCCCCGGTGCCGTTCTCATCGAGTGCCCTGTCGGCGACCGCGCGGTGTACAAGAACAACCCGGACCACCCTTACCGCGTCCACCCGCAGATCGCGCTCACTGCCATTCCCACCCTCATCGCCTGGACCGCCGATGGCCCCGGTGCCCGGCTCGTCGAGGAAGAGTGCGCGAGCGAGGAGGCCATCGCAGAGCTCGTTGCCTCGATCACGGCCTAAACCCCCGTTCTTGCCGTGCCCAAAGGCCGATGCATGTCGTGGCCAAGACGTGCCGACCTTGGCCGTGCGCCAGGATGGGACGAGCTCGCTATCTCGATCACGGCGTAAACCTCCCGCAAGCCGTGGCCAACACCAAAACTCTTTACTTGCCCCTCACAGACCGGCCATCTGGCGCTCCAGCTCTGCAACGCGCTTGGCAAGCTCGTCCTTCTCCGCGGCGAGCTTCGAGTTGGCCTTGAGCAGCTGCTGGTTGTACATCTTGAGCACCTCCTTCTTCGCATGGCTCCCATCACACATCATGGTCGTCTCAAGCTTGCCGGTCCTCTTGCAGGCACACACGTAGTACGTCTTGCTCTCTTCGGGCGTAAACTCCAGCGGGGTGATGTGCTCGGCCTCGGGAAGCGACTCGTTGATCTTGTTGTGCGAGCCGTCGCAGAAAATGCCATCCGCCGAGTGCCCGCAACGGCACAGCCACACCGACTTGCCGGCCTCCAGCTCCACCGCAAACGGCGCCGCACCGGCCACACGCGCATGCGGGTTGGTATCCACGAATCCTCCAGCAGACATGCTAGCCACGGTCAGTCTCTTGTTCGCTCGTCACTCTGAGTTGTGTCAGGTGTGTCTCCCAGACCTCCCGTCCAGAACAAATCCCGCCTGTTGGCCTACGGCTGTGTTCCTTGCGCGCGCGCATCCCCACCCATCACGTTCATTGCATCGGCGGGCGGGCAGCCCTTGCGGCGTCCAGCCAGCCCGAGGTGGCGGCAAAGGTGTAGAGGGCGCGGGCTTGTGAGTGCTGGAGGCCGTCGAGGACGCGGATGGACTCGCTTTGGCTGAGCCCGCCGCGGACGGCGGCCTCTTCCATGAGGCGCATCTTGGCATGGAGGAAGAGGACGGGCTCGAGGCGAATGGCGGCGGCGAGGTCGCGCTCGGCGAGCGAGAGCTTGTACACATTAGGGTAGTGGTAGACGTTGAGCGGCGGCTCCGAGCCGAGCTCGACGTCCATGGCGACCGGCCCACTGGCGTCGGCGAGGATGTGCGGCGGCGGAGCGGGCGCGGCACCGGCCGAGGCTGCCAGCGCGGCTGATGCCGAGAGAACCGGAGTAAAGGCAAAGGCGGCGACGCCCGGGCCCTTGGCCGAGGTAGGCGGCCGGCGGGCGGCCGACTGGCGGCTCTGCGAGTCGCGGCGCGACTTCATCTCGAGGTAGGACGCGCCTTCCGAGAGCGAGGTGATGCCGGCCTCGCGGAAGAGCTGCAGCTCGCGGATGCGGTCCTTGATGGCCTTTTCCTTGAGGAGCGCCTGATAGAGCTGGTCGTATTCGGCCTGCGTCATATACCGCCGGAATACACAGAGCTTGTCGTACACCTCCTTCTCACCGCTCTTCTGCCGCTGGCGCTCCGCCTTTTGCACCTGCTTAAAGTCGGTGAGCTCGTGCTCAAAGACAAACTGCTTGCGCGCCGCTCGCTCCTCGAGCTTGGAGTTGTAGATCTGGAGCATGGCAAGGTAGAGCTCCTTCTCGAGCTTGGGCGTCTCATCGTTGATGACAATGGCCTGCAGCAGCTGCTCGGCGTCGTTGTCCCACTCGGTCTCAAAGTCGCCGCGGAGCTTGTAGTAGCCGGCGAGCTCGGCCGGCGTCGCCACCGTCGAGCTCTTCTGCCCACGCGGCCGCTTGGTCGACTCGGTCTTGGACTTGCGCTTGGAGCTGCTGCCCGCGTCGTCGACGCCGTCGTCGCCACCCGCGTCGTCCTCGCCGTCGCTCGCTGACTCGCCGCCTCCGGCCTCGGCCAGCGACGAGCTCGGCCCGAGCCGTGACTCGAGGTGCGGCGCCGCGCCGTCGGCCTTGGACTCGAGAAAGAGCTGCAGCGAGGTGCCGGCCGGCGCCACGTTCCCGACCTTGGGCACCATGCCCGGCTGCTTGAGGTACATCTCCTCAAAGTGGGCTTGGACCTCGATGTGGTCCTTGGTCCCGATGTGGTCGGCGGCGTGGTACCAGTTGCCGTAGCCAAAGGTCTCGATGGCCTCTAGCAGAAGCATCTCCTCCCACGCAGTCCAGCCCTCCTCCACCAGCTCAAAGTTGAGCTTGTCCACCACATGATACGAGTGCGTCGCCTTGTGCTCGGCCATCTGCGAGTTGATCTCCACCCGGACCGAAAAGCATTCGAGGCAGAGGTCAAAGTCCTTGCACTCGCAGCAGAGAATCCGCACGTTGCGCGTGATGTCTCGCTTGCAGCTGTCACAGGTAAACGTCGGCGCCACCACCGTTGACTTGGGCTTCTTCTTGGCCTTGGCCTTCTTCTTCTTCTTGCCCGCATCGCTACTTCCCTGCGCCTTGGAGTTCCCACCCTTCTTGTTCCCGCTCTTCTTGGCCCGCCCTTGTCCGTCCTCTTGGCCTTGCTCTTTGTCCCGCTATCGCCACCTCCTCCGCTCCCTCCGCCCTTCTCTTCGATCTCCATGTCCACCACCCCCCTCCCGCTCCCGTCCTTGATCCGGCTCCTCCCCCCACCGCCATGCCCGAGTCCTCTGCCTTCTTGCTCGGCTTCCTGCTCCGTGAGCTACGAGAGACCGATCTCCTACCGCCCTCCATACGCATGGGAATGTACGTGTGAGTGTATGTATGTATGTGTGTATGTGTATGTATGTATGTGTGTATGTGTATGTATGTATGTGTGTATGTGTATGTGTGTATGTGTATGTGTGTATGTGTGTGTGTGTGTGTGTGGTAGGGTCCCCCCCTCTCCCCCCCTACCCCCACCCCACCACCCACCACCACCCACCACCCACCACCACCCACCACTACCCACCACCACCCACCACCTACCGCGGCATGTTACCCCAAACCTCACCACCAACACAGAGAGGAAGTGCAGTGTGGGTATGACTGCAGAGTGCGAGCGCCTCTTGTCCCCACAGCCCCCTCGTCCGTCTCCTCCTTCACGCCAAGCCACCGTGTCGCCTTGCTACCACCACTACCCCCACCACCACCACCACTCTCCCCCCCCCCTCCCCCCCCCCCCCCCTCCCCTCCTCCCCTCCGTCTACACTATGTCTGCCTCTGCTCCACCAAAAGGAACGGCTTGTGGGCGCAGCCGGACAGAGGCACATCCGTGTCCAGCTCTCACGCATGGGGCCCAAGGATATGATTCAAGAGCTGCAAGCAGAGCATGGCATTGACGTTCCTCTTGCTGCTCCCGTCCTTCATCTGACGGATACCCTTGCTGTGCCAAGGGCTATGGTCCTGGCGCCACTGGCTGACAAACTGGCAGAGACGCTGCTGGCTCGAGTCAATGCTGCGCCCATCGAGAATCTGCGTGGTCTCCTCGCAGAGTCCTTCCGCTACACCGCCCATCCTGTCCTTGGCGCAGTTCCTGTGGCCATCATGGCTCGTCTGCCTTCGCTTCCACAGTCGTTCATCAAGCTTCTTGCTGCCTCGCCGCCGCTGCTCGCCGCCTCGCCGCTCCACGTTCGCCAGCAGACATGGGCCGCCTACCCCTCGCTCTTCCGCGATCATCTCTCGGCTCTGCTGGCGCCGTACCTGGCTCCGTTTGAGGCCATGACTGCTGCTGCGCCACAGCCTGCACCAGCTAACAAGGTCTGCGGCATCCGCCTCCGCCTCCCGGCCGGGACCAGCCTCTCGCCGTGGACAAGCCCGCGCGCCGAGACCGTCGCCCGGCTCGGCCCGCTCGCCGACACCTCGCGCCGGCACGAGGTTGGTCCAGCGGCGGCCGGCACCGCCATCCCGTCGTGTGCAGTGCTCGGAGAGCTTGCATGGACACTAGGCAGCATCCTCCCGCTCTACAACGTGGTGCTTGAGGAGGCGCGATCGCGGTTTGTGGGCGCGGCGTCGCTCGGCGTGCTTGCGGCGTACGCCTCGCTCCGCGCCGACGTGCTCGTGGCGCTGACGGCGTCGGGCAATCCGACGATTGTGCGGGCCGATCCGCTCTCGCCGTTTGTCGACCTTTTCCACGGCCGCTTTGCCCACGCAGCGAGCTTCGACGAGCTCGTCGGCGACGCTCCGCTCCTCGCCAGCCTGCTCGAGCTCTACGCCCGCATTCCCGAGGCCTCGCCGCTGCTTGGCGACCTTGGCATGGTGCTTGCGCAGCCTGCGGTGTACGAGTGGCTTGTCCACGCTGCACTCCGCAAGGTCCATGCCGTCATGGAGGCACAGGCACTCCCGCGCGACTCGACCGAGCTGACGGCGCTGACGCAGCTGGCCATGCTCGCGGTGCAGGCCCGGGTCATGATGCTCCGCCGGCAGTTTACCTTTGACGCCTCGCTGGACCTCGCCTCGCCGGACGACCACCTTCGTGGCTTCTTCCCCGCACTCATCAGCCTCCTCCTCGACTTTAGCATGGAGAGCGTGCCGCCGTCGCTCGACGACATCGACCCGATGCTCCTCGGCTTTGCAGCCCGTTCGCCGTTTGCGCTCCATCTCCTCATTGCGCTCCTCGGTGAAGGCCTCGCCTCGGGCACACTCTCCGGGTCGAGCGCCATCTTTCTTGCCGGCGTCATTGGCTACGGCATCGACGCCGCGGTCGCCATCCGGGCCCGGGCCCAGGCGGCGCTCGCCAAGGTGCGGGCCGATCCTGCGACGCGGCACGCGCCCGCCGACGACGGCGAGAACGAGTTTGACGACATGGACGAGGACGAGCTGAGTCTCGCGCTCTGCGAGCAGGTCGATCCGGACTCGCTCGCTCCGTGCATTCTGCGGCTGGCGGCGCGGGTCGGCGAGGTGGCCGGCTCGGGCTCGGGCGACGCCCGCGACAATTGAAG